TCCTGGAAGGTACGGCTGCTGGTGGGAAAGAGAAAAGATGAGAGACAAGCTCAACTTTGAGACGGGTCACCTTCTCCCGGTCCATCTGTGAAATGCCAGCGCTCACTGCGGAGGGCGCTTCTGGGCAAGGACCACCTGGGTGAGCCTGTCTGGAAAATGTCACTAAGCTGCCAATAGCGGCGGGAAAGTCAGGGTTGGCGCCGGCGGAAACCCCCAGTTAAGTTTACAGCATTACCTGCCACTTCTTCCCTCACCTCCCGGTTTTAAAAGCTGTGGCAGCGAAGGCGGGCGAGGGCGTGAGCCTCTGGGGACGCACGGTGGAGACTCCGCGCTCGCCAGCGGAGCCTGGAACCCGGGCCCCAGCGGGGTGGCCCCCTACCTTGCCGTACTTCTTCAGCTTCTTGCGGTATCTCCTCTTGGGCTTCTCCTCGGGCGCCAGCTCCTCCAGAGGCTCGTAGCGCTCGGGGAGGACGGCGAGGTGCACCCTCCGCGCGCTCCGCGCCCCGTGCGCCGCTCTGGTGTCCTCGTCCCCGTCCCCGCACTCCAGCTGCTCCAGGATAGCAGCCTCGTCCTCGTCCTGTCCTCGCCCTCGAGGGCCGCGGCGCGCCAGGCTCCGGAGCCGGGCTCCCACCGCCATGACGCCGCGGACCCTCGCGCGCACCACGGAGCTGCGCCTCCAACCTTTGCTCCTCGCTGGCTCCCGCGCCCGGCCGCCCGCCCCCGGCCGCACGGGGCTGGACACTCGGGACGCAGCGCACCCTGGCGGCGAGGTCCGGGATCGCGCCGGTCTCGGGGCTGGCCTCAGACCACAGACCAACCCCTGGGAGGGCCAGGGGGTGGAGGGCGCACGGTGGACCCAGCGGAGAAACACAAGCACGCAGCAGAGTACATACACACTTGCAAATTTACTGGGATGATAGTGATAGTAAGATTGTACTCGGTGGTGAGAAAGGGTGCTCATAAAATTGTCTTCACAGGAGTGAAAATTACTGGCAAACTTAGAAAGATGCGTGAAAGTACAAATTAAAACCAACCGAAACCCTTGCCAGGCAGCCTTCACGACCCTTGTTGTAAAGGGCCATCGAGTGGACTACGACTCATAGCGAACCTATGAAAAACTGAACCCTGGCCTATCCTGTGCCATCCGCATCATCTCTGACACACTTTAAACCATTGCTGCAGTCGCTGTCAATCCATTTTATTGGAGGTCTTCATCTCTTTCTCTGACCTTCCACCTTTCCAAACATGATGTCCCTCTCCAAGCACTGGCCGCCCCTAACAACGTGCCCAAAGTATATGAGACTAAGTTTCACCTCCTTGTTTGTCCTTTTGCCAGTCCATGGGATCTTTAGCCTGGCATCAAGCTGTCCTATATGGTTCCCGGGGGCTGTAATTTTAACTCAAGCAAGATCACATCTTTTCCATGATAATCGCAAGTGGGTTTAAACCCACCACTTTTTATTTTAACAAGCTAGTATTCTAACAACAACAACAACAACAACAAGACGACATTATTGTTTTCTTAGTGGTCTAAGACTGTTGAATACTATTCTCCAGCACCACAACTTGAAGGCATTTATTCTTCTGTTAATCATTGTCCAGCTCTCTAATGCACAGCAAGTAATTGTAAAGGCCATGGCCTGCATCAGCTGCACCTTAGTCTCTAAACTGACATTGTTGCTTCACAGTACTCTGGAGACGTCTCTGACAACAGATTTTCCCAGTGCAATTAATCGTTAGACTCACTGACTGCTGGTGCCAAGAGTGTTGACTGTGGACTCAAGCAAGCTGAAATTGTTAACAATCTCAGTCCTCCATCTATCATGAAGGGTGGGCAGACAGTGGAGGAGAGGAGAACCCCAGATGAGATGGATTGACACAGAAACTGGGGCAATGGGGGTAGGTGTGTCAAAGTCAGTGAGTGAGTCAAGCCCAGAACAGGGCAGGCTTCAGAGTTGTTGTACATAGGGTCTCTATGAGTCACAGGCAACTTGATGGCACATAACAATAGCCACAACAACAACAGCAATGTTCCAACAGCTGTACCAACAGGGATCCCATATCCAGCAAGAATCCTAAAAAGTGTCAAGATCTGGTGGCGTAGTGTTTAACATACTGGCTGCTACCCAGAAGGTCAACAGTTTGATCCCACTGACTGGTCTTCAGGATGAAGAAGTCCAGTCTTCTCCCTTTGCCTCTCTCTGTGCTATTAGGTCTTTGCAATGAACATAAGGCCAAGGACTCAAGGAAGGGACCAGAGAAAGGAAGAAAGCTAAAGGAGCTTTATTAAGGGGTCTCCCAGATGGGACTCCTTGGTCAATAGAGAGAGAAACAGGCAGAGGCACAGACCAGGGAAATACTGCACCCTAAAGTGGATTGTTTGTTGTCGTTGTTATGTGATGTCGAGTCACTTGTGACTCATAGTGACCCTATGTACAACAGCCCTAAACTCTGCTCTGTCCTGTGCCAGTCGCACTGCCTCTGACACACCCATCCCCATTACCCCAGTCATTGAATCAACCCACCTCATAGAGGGCCTTCCCCTCCTGCGCTGTCCCTCCACACTCCCAAGCATGATGTCTCTCTCCAAGGACCGGTCCCTCCTTACAACATGTCCAAAGTATGTTAGACGAAGCCTCAGAATCCTTGCCTCCAGGGAGCCACCCCATTTAACCGTTTGCAGGATGAATCTGTTTTCCTAGTAGTCCGTGGTACCCTCAGTACTCCAGCACCACAGCTCAAAGGCATCAATTCTCCTTCTATCCTCCTTAGTCATTGTCCAATTCTCTGATGCATAACAAGTGATAGCAAAGACCATGGCCTGTATCAGACGCACCTTAGTCTCCAGAGAGACACTATTGCTCTTCAGTACTTTGGAGAGGTTCCTAACAGCAGACTTTCCCACTGCAATACACCTTTTAATTTCCTGGCTACTGGTGCCGAGAGTGTTGACTGTGGAGCCAAGCAAACTAAAGCTGTGAACAATCTCAATCTCTTCAACATCCATCCTGATGCTGCCAATTGGTCCAGTGGTGAGAATCTTTGTCTTCTTGACATTGAGCCTCAATAGATGGTATACCAATTGACATATTTCAGCTAACAGATGCTGCCCTGGATGTGCTAACCAAGTTGTGCCAAGAAATCTGGAGAAAAACCACTTGGCCAACTGACTGGATAAGATCTAGATTTGTTCCCATCCCAAAGAAGGGTGACCCAACAGAGTGTGGAAACTATAGAACAATATCTTTTATTTCACATGTAAGCAAGATTCTATTGAAGATTATCCAAAAACGACTGGAACAGCACATCAGCAGAGAACTGCCAGAAGTCCAGGCTGGGTTTAGAAGGGGTCGTGGTACTAGGGTAGCTAATGTTAGATGGATCTTAGCTGAAAGCAGGGAATACCAGAGGAATGTATATCTGTGTTTCATTGATTATGCAAAGGTGTTTTACTGTGTGGATCATAACAAACTGTGGCTGACTCTGAGAACAATGGGAATCCCAGAACACTTGATCATGCTAATGCGAAACCTCAGAACAGAGCAAGGAAACAGTGCATGTTTCAAAATGGATCAGGACAGGTTTTACAGTAAGGGTCTTTAGGGAGGGAAGCAAGGGACATTCCATTGTGTTTTAACCAGGTGGGTGGTCTTCTAGGGAGGGAAGAGAGGGGCACTCCGTGGTAGGTGAGGCTGTTCACTCTCTTTGTTGACATGTTGATATTCCTGAATCCTTTGTTCTCCCTTTGACTGTGGTCTTGGCCTGACATGTGCCACTCTTTCTCTCTCTCTATCTATCTACTCCCTTGGGGACAACAATCCTAGCAGACCCGCTGGTTGTCTATGTGTGTCTCTTTTGTCTGGCTCTCTCTCTTCTGTGCCCTCTGCCACTCTTTCTCTCTCTCTCACTGCCATTGGGTTACAACTGTCTCATAACCAACCCTCCAGTGTTGGTGGATGACACCAATCCTAATGACCCCACTGTGCCAGAGCTCCATAAGTTACCAATTGGCTTAAAAACCATTTGGAGTCATTGGCCTTATGTCCAGTGCAAAGACCTAACATCCTGGTGTGTGAAACTCAGGAGAGAGGTCGAGGTGTGTTGTGCTCCTGCCCTCTTCTGGGATGAGCATGCTGCTGCCCCTCCCTGCCCCCCATGATGTCAAGATGTTGAACAGATTAAAGAAATGACTAGCTTAAACCAGCTGCTGTGACATCCATATTCTCCCCTGGCAACTGATCCCAGGCCATCCCAATCCAGCCTCTGAACCCCTGATATTCGCCTAGCCCCTAGCCAGGAAGAATATGTCACCCTTTTTTTCTCACTAAAGGATTAAAGGAATATCAACATGTGAACAGAGGGAGTGAACAGCCTTGCTCATCTGACTAACTACCATGGTGTGCTCCTCCCTGCCCTCACTAGAAGACTACCTACCTGGCTAAACCATAATGGAATGTCCCTCCCTTCCCTCCCTAAAGACCCTATAAAAACCCTGCCCTAATTAATCTTAAGGCATGGTTTTCCTCTGGTCTGTCTCTCTAGATCAAAGAATCCTGCCCAGGAGCCCCCTTAATAAAACTTCTTTAGCTTTAAAAACAAAACAAAACACAGTTTTATTCATAAGATTAAGCATGAAGATCCTGTTCTTCTCCTTCTTTTCTCCTCCTTCAGTCCCCTCCTTTCTCTGTCTGTCCAATTCATGCTTGTATTACTAAACAAAAGATTAAATATAAAACCTTTATTTGGCAACAAATGGAAACATTTTCAATTCATTGTAATTGTTTCTAAACAAGCTTTTACAAAGAAGCAATTGTTTCTGGGACTCTAAGCTTGTTTTTCAATAACTGACCATATTTTGCATGAATCCTGGCTCTCTGATGCTCCAGCCCTTTTGGAGGACTGACTGTGAACTGTTCCAGGAGAGGGAGATCCTGCATACCGTGGACATTGTGGACAGGCACACATTCTTTCCACCCTCCTCCCAGAGTGCTAGGAGCTCCCACAGCTTGGGGGGTGGAGGGTGAACACTGTGTTGAAGCCAAAGGCACATGGATTGGATCAACCAGCTTCTCTGTGGGAGAAAGATGAGCAGTCTCCACTAGGGTGATCCACAGCCTCTGAAAATTCACAATGAGTCCATTCCAGCAATGAATTTTCTGGAGTATTGAGGCTAAGAAGGGTAAACAAGTCCAGACTCTCTTTAGGACCTGAAGAAATTCAGCAAGTTTGCTGTTGTGATTCAATGTCATCAAATGGCTTCAAACTCATGGTGACTCCAACCATAGCAATGCCCAGTGCTCCACCATTCACATGATCAGTAATGCGTTGGACATGGTGGTCTGCGTACTGACCATATGCAGCCTGAGGAAGTGTGGGAAGCAGTCCGGGGGGAGACGTGGGAGGCCATGCTTCTGCTCTCCTGGCTGCTTCCGCTGGCAAGCAGAGCCCTACAAGTGGTGATTTCTTCTGTTCCAGGAGACTAGCTCTGCTCTCAGTCTCTGAAATGTACAAAGACAGGGCAGGGTAGGTCTGTTTTCAGCTCCCAGGATCTAGAAGGCTTGCGTCCATGGCCAGTGAGGTCAGGGGTTGCCTCTCAGAGCCCTGGATTCCTGAGGAATTGGTCATGATGACTCTCTT